AATAATGATATTACCTGTGATATTTACATGAATTTATTGGAAATTTAGCAACATTGACTGTGATATGGCCATCCTTTGGGTTTGTGATTAACTTTTGACCGGTTATTACTTTATAATGGAAATTATTTTCTTACGTCAATGTATTTGAAAAACTCATTGTATTTTTATGTCTTTCGGTCTTCACTAAATTGTAAATTTTTAACTACCAACAGGGACTTGTTAGATTAGACGTAAAACTTTTCTCCAATATATCACTTCTTTGATAAATTGATTGATGATTTTTGCAGTCATTAAGGCCGCAACTACAATGTTAACGCTTCCACTGGCCTTTCATTTTGGATATTTAGGTTAGGCTTTTTCGAACCGTTCACATTTCGGCTTCCTACTCATTTCCATGTGTTGGTTAGGTTATTTTGTGTTAAAATGTTTATAGACCAAATACTTATTCCAATCAAGAAAGACTAAGACATACTATTATCACACACTAAATTGTATGTACAAACACAAAAAGAGCAGGTTTTTCACGACTCTTGGAGTCGTTTTCCTGCAAACAAATTATTCAGCCAGTTTTTGGCGGTGTAAATAAATAAATAAAAATAGTTTGATTAATTTTCTTATTAGTTTTGAGAATTTTTCTTCATACAATTTTCATTAAGAAGTATCAGAAGAAAGTACTTATCAAGATACGAACGCATGAGAATAAAAGCCTGACGCTAGCAGGTTTTTCAAAAGCGGGATAACAATTAGTTGCACGCAAAAGAGACATTTCAAAAGGTTACACGCAAACGGAACATTTTATTTTGTCGCATTTTGAATTTTAAAGCCGTGATTACAACAACAATATACTTCTCTCTTGCGTGCAACCTTTTGAAATGTCTCTTTTGCGTGCAACTGATTTTGATCCCGCTTTTGCGAAAAACTTGGTAGCGTCAGTCTTTTATTCTCACGCGTTCATACGATCATCCGTTGGAAAATTATTAGCGTTGAGTACGCGAACCATTTGTTGAAAAATTTAAATTTTTTGCGAACGGACGGGAAAAACGTGTTTTTAGTTTCATTGAAATTTTCGGACAAATTTCGGACAAAAAATTGTCCGTCCGTCCGAAAACGTGTCCGAACATTCGGACTGTCCGAATGTTCGGACAAAAAAGCGTGTCCGAAAGGTTTCGTACAAAACCTGTCCGTGTCCGTTTGTCCGTTTGTCCGTGATAACATTTTTGGACATTGTCCGTCCGTCCGAAAAGTTCGGATGGACAAAATTTGTCCGTCCAAAATTTCTTTTTTTTCGGACGGACAAAATCTGTCCGTCCGAAAAAAAGTTCGGACGGACAAATTTTTCGGACGGACGGACGGACAAAAACGACTTTTTTCATTTTTTGTCCGTGTCCGTTGACAGCTTTACCTGTTGAAAATCTATATTATTTTCAAATTATTCAACAGTTTATTTCGGACTACAATGGAGACGATCATTACTTCACAAGGATTGGTTCATCGGGTGTGACCGCTGACCAAATTTTCAAGATTCAAGCTGTTATGGATCATATCGATTCTTGTCACCAACATCATCATACGCTTATAAAAAACAGTTCGAATAACTTGATTGATTATTTGCGTTCAGCCTCTTTAGGAAATCGTCAATTGGCAGCTTCATCGACATATCACCCGGATTTAGAAGAATTGGAAGAAGATTATGAAGTTGAAATTGGAAATTATAATCCAGTTCAGCCGCTGCTTTACGACCACGGCGTATGTATAATTCCGATTTCAAATCCAACAATCCGAATTGATCATCATATATTACAAATTATGCATCACGGCACCACTTCAGTCATATGGGAGCCAGATGCGACTTCAGGCCGTTCTTGTTATGCATTTTTTCGATTGGAACGATCATGTGCGTCAATCACATGGCAAAGACCATCTTGGCATCGATTAAAATCCGAACAAGAATACGATTTGGCTGTAAATCCAGAAGAATTAGTTTCGCAAAGACTATTTTATCATCACCAAATAACTGTGACAAATGAGTTCGAACCACAGAATCCAACCATTGATGAAGGCTTTCTTGATTTAACTTTGGCAAAGGAAGTTATCATGGGTTCACGTAACCACGAATATGATGCCGAACTTTTGGCAGCCGGAAAACAATTTGGTTTAACTCATATCGAGTGCTGCGTTACAATTCTATATGGAAGCAGCATTAATGACAATCGACTTATTTGTTTAATGTGCCCTCCGATGTTATGTCGGCTTTGGTACGTTGGCCTTAATTGGATTATCAAAGGAATCAAGCGACAGCAGCGTCTAGCCGATCGTTCAATGCTGTGGTTAAAAGAGAAGTACGTTCAATTATATTTCGAGGATCGTATGTGTGAAGAACCATTAGCAAACGATGCTTTAAAACTATTCGGTGGTCGTGACTGGACCACAATGCACATCACAACTACTGCAAGCACAGCCACACCAGAGACATCTGAGCCAATGAAACGAGAAATGTCATTTAAACTAAAAAAGAAACGTTCGGTCGCCAATATTCTGGGGCAGTCGATAAGCGGCAGCAATTCAGAGGGTGCAACAGCACCAGAGCCTGAACACGATGATTGTAATGAAAGAATTGATCGTTTCGATGAACGACGGAATGAATCCAGCGACCAGTTATGGCAAAAAGTGAATAACTTGCGATATGGAGCAATTACGTACGAAACGCAACTAGACTTCCTAGATTTCATATCACTTTTCAAATCATTCAGGTAATTGATGAGCATGAACCAAATATGTTAATTTCCAGGAAGGTTATTTATCGTATCCATAACCAACTCCTCAGTAATGTTGATAGTTGGAAAATTAGCACACAGATCCTTTAGCAATGGTTCATCTTCAGAATAATTCTCATTTTTGGTATAATCCGGTTCAGTGTACGCTTTGGCAAAATGTGTTGCGAAAAATTGTGCTATTTCACCTTGGTTACTACTTTTCTTGCCTCCAAGAACCATTTCATTCGGAAGATCATCATTCGTCTTTTTGGAACCATTCACGAATTCGAAAAACTTCTGTGGATCTTCATTGATAAGGTTTTCCATTTCGAGTTTGTAGTTTCTATATGCCAAACGTGCGCTCTTTTTGTATTCTCTTCTCAATTTGGAGTGTTCTTTTTTGGCGTAGTTTTTTTCTTCAATGGTATGTCTGGATGCTATGTATTTGTACTGTCTATTGACTCTATTCTTCAAATTGATAAGGTCATTATTAAACCATTTTGGGTGACTTGAAAGCTTCTTCGTTTTCATCACAACATTCGATGAAATTACTGAATCAATCAGTTCGTAGAACTTTGTGATATGCGAGTCGAAATCATCACCGGAAAACATTTCCATCCAATCGACGTCATTCAGCGACTCATTTATGGTATCGTAATCGGCATTCACAAAATCTCGGTAACTATAATTCGAAGTTGGTTTAAATTGGTTACAATCAAAATTACCAATATTTATCTCATACGATATGTGATGTGACTCCTGGTTCAGTAGGTGATAATCATTTTTGGAACAATTGACGAAATCGGTGCTGTTAGTCTGCCAACTATTTTCTACCAGTATACTGAAAAATTCAGTAAAAAGCCAGTTTTTTCGCAATATCTCGGAAACGGCTGGATTTAGGCCCCAAATCTCGGCCTCCGGCTACCATCCCCATGAAATTTTCCGCCCGATCGAATGGGACTTCTCATAATTTTCTCCGATTTTCCATTTTCCTTTTATAGCGATAAGTTCATTTTCGGAAAATTTTCCAGGATTTACAATTTTCCGGGAAATTTTCTTGAATTCGTTTTCAGCAT